TTCATGCATTTCACCTATTTATACATGTGCATTGACCCATGACCAAATGGCGTTATATACGCATATATATGTAAATATATGTATATGGGATATGGGATATGGGAAAAAAGTTACGACGTTATATACGCACCACCACCTGATCAGCTGGTATATGTTGATGATGTTGCCCACAGTGGCCGAGATAATATAATATACACCCACACCTATGCATGGCACAACATTTATACGCACGTGCATGACATTATAAACGTTTCAGAATTTACAAAGTTATTCAGATTTAAAGATGTATTTCTTTATTCCATGTTTCATCTATGTCTTTTACGTACTAATTTCCATGCCTTACATATTCAGTACATTTTTCGTACTGACGCCCTATTTCACGGGGCATGTGTTTCATGTCCGCAGGTGCAGGTAGGCAAGCTGACGGTCCCCCTTCTTAGGATCCCTGATCAGCGAGAGTTGGTGTGCTCCACTTGATCCGGAGCTGCTTTGATTTTGGTACGATACGTTCGTGTATATATATATATGTATGTTTGTATATGGGTATGACGAGGCTCAGTCCCGTCTTTGTACAGTTATGTTTCTATTAGAGGTCTGTAGATAGTATGTCTAGTTGGGTTGTATGTGGGCTTGTCGGCTTTCAGTTTTGGATGTATAGTTGTCTATAGCAGCCTTGCCGACTCGCCCAGTGTGTTCTGCATGTATACATACATATGCCTTGATGACAAGTTTTCTTCATGTATGTTATTTTCGTAATGCAGCAGATGTTATTCAGGTTCATATCTTAGATGCTTCCTTAGGGGTGTTTGACAGGTAGGACTCAGACACCCATCACGGTCTATCGGTTTGGGTCGTGACAATATGATATCAAATAAGCATGATAGCAAAATCAAGCATTTAATGGCCTAATAACTACATGTATCATGAATAACCACGGTGCACGCATATACGCTCATCACTGTGCATTTACGTCACCCTCAACACATTACAAATATCATAGTTGATGGGGAAATTACCCTCAAACCAAGCTTAATAAAGATACTTACCTCATCCGGCTAGTATTCAACCTCGAATCTCATCAAAAACCTCGATCTAGCCTTCCAATCGCCCAAATCCAAGCCAGATAACATCCAAGAATGCCATAAGAAGCGATCCCAATCCATAAAGCTTCGATCTTTGAAGAAGTTTCCAAAAGTCAACCCGAGCCCACGTGCCCAAAATCTAAAACCAATACCAAAATTCGATGAACCATAACCTCCAAAGTCCAAATGTGTAATTAGTTTCCCAAACCAAGTCCAAATCGGTACTCAAATTCGTAAAATACCCTCTCTTAAAATGTAGGCAACCCCCCTTCCTTAGATTCACCAATCGAATGCCAAAATCGAATATAAAATCATGAATAATAATTCGCGTTAAGAACACTTACCCAAACTAAGTGGGTGAAAATCACCTCAAAAATCACTCTACTTCGAGCTTCCAGTCTCAAAATATGAAATAATGAGCTAAACCTATGAATATATGCCCTTGCCAGTCGTCCTCGCATTTGCGCTTATTAAGTCGAAGGTGGGACGTCACTTCTCCAACCTCAACCTCACTTCTACGAACTCATTCCACATGCCAAACATCGCTTCTGCGATAAAACCACCACAGGTGTGGCTCTGCAGGTGCGACTCATCTCACTCATATGCGGTCCTCCCCTATGCTGATAACAACCTCGCATCTGCGGTCTAGCCTCCGCAAATGTGGCACTGTAGGCGCGACAAAAGCTCCGCATTTGCAATTTTCTCCCAGCATGGCCAACATGTGCTTCTGCGTACAAGGCACCATAGATGCGACTCTCCGCACCTGCCCAACCACTTCGCATGTGCGAATGCACCAAAACCAGTTATGATCTCATCTCCCAAAATAGCCCGAAATCAACTCGAAATGCACTTGAGTCCCTCGGGAACCCGTTCTATAATACCAACGATCCCAAATACAATACCTAACTTATCTAAAGGCTCAAAACACCACAAATAACATCAAAATGACAAATCAAAGATCAAGTTCATTCTCTTAACTTCAAGAACTTTCAACTTGCAACTAAACGTCCTATCCATACCTAACCAATCCGGATTCTAACCAAACTATGCACATATATCCCAAATGAAAAAATGAACCTGTTTCAAATTTCAAAACCACAATCCAAACCCGATACTATCAAAGTCAACTTCCGATCAAACTTATGAATTCTCCAATTTTTCAAATTGCCAACTTTTACCAAATATAGCCAAAACCTTCTAGGAACATCAAAATTCAAATACGAACATACTCATAAGTCCAAAATCACCAAACAAACCTATTTAGACCATCAAATCCTTATTCTGAGGCCGTTTATTTAAAAGTCAACTCTTCCAACTTAAAGCTTCTAAATTAAAAAATACTCTTCCAAATCAACTCTAAACCTTTCGAAAGTCAAAATCAATTATATATGCAAGTAATAATGCATAATACGAAGCTACTCAAAGTCTCAAATCTCCGAATGAGATGATATAGCTCAAAACGAATGGTGGGGTCATTACAAAAATGGCTCAAAGTCGTCAAAAGTCCTATTTAGATGTTCGACGTCATGATTTGACCTTTAAGGAAAGTGAATATATTTTCATGAAGGTTTTACCAATGAAAGGTGTGATGCGTATTGGAAAGAAAGAAAAATAAATCCAAGGTTTATTGGGCCTTACAAAATTTTTAAGAAAATAGGAGAGATATCATCGTTTAAAGTATTGTGGTGGAGTCAAGATATTGAGGAAGCAACATAGGAAGTGGAGGTGGACATGAATAAAATATACCCCTATTTATTTCAAGAGAATAAAGCTTAGGCTTGAATTTTTTACTAATGTATTTTGTATTTCATATTGAGACTTTCCTTGTAATCACTTGTGATTTGCTATGGTATATTATGATTTGTTGGTATATGGAGATGCATTGTGTTGAATGCGAGTTGTGTGGGGTCTCCTTTGTGCGTGTATATATATATAAGGAGACTTTATCAAAAAATTTAAAAAGTTGAAGAGTTAGCTAAAAATTATGACTAATAAGAGGTCATTTGGTAACGAGGTCTAGGAGGGTTATGGTTGGATCTTTGAACTTGATTACGGCTTCAGCTTGATATTCGAGGAAGAATGTTTGTAAGTGGGGGAGATTATGAAGCCCCAAAATTTTCTAACGATTGAGCCTAATTAAAATTTAAGAGAATAATTAGTGATAGCTCGAAGTACATGCAGATCCACACAAGGGTAATAGGATCATTGCGATACTTGGACATGAAGGTCATGAGGGTTAAAGATCCCAAGTTGAATGGATAAAGGCATAATTTGGAATGATAGCCAAAAGAGAGAGGAGGGGATTCTAGCACATTGCATAGCCTCCTAGCCCCAGCCTTGCATTAGCAAAAACTGAATGCATGTGAAGGGAAGGCTTAAGCTGCGTAGGCTAAGCAAGACTATATAGTCAAGCTGCGTAGGCTATACAAGTTGAGCAACTCTTGACTGATGTTGCATATAATTGTTAAGATTGTAATTGCTTGAAGACCTAGGATACTTGTGATAAAATTTTGTAAGCATATTGAAGTATGTTAGAAACCTAATATTTCATGGAGTTTTTTCATAAATTCGCATATTTAGTGGATCTCTTTTTGTTCTTGTTATTAAGAAAATAGCCACTAAGCATCCTACTTATTGGTATATTAGCTATAAAAAATTGTGAATCCTATCTTGTAGGGACGAGCGTGTTGTGATTGTACCATTCTTTGCGGTGTAAATGTTTAAATGCAATTGTCATAACTTTATATTGAAATAAAAAGTGTAATGTTTTTGAAATACCTTTACATGTTGGAGTGACACTTGTTAAAATAAAAGATATATTTTCATTTTGTTAATTACTTTTAACATGGAATTTGAGAAATTTTGTGTTCAATTGTTTATTATTAAATGTAGTGAGTTTAAGTTGACTCGTACAGTACTACAAAAAGCCGTCCAGACAAATAAGGCCCAATACTTGTGACTAGGTTAAACACTTGGTGTTGTTACTATTACATCGGCATTGGCATAATGCTATGCGTTAAATTTAAATCACATGATTTTGGTTAAACTGAAATGCTAAAGGAAATGAGTTTGAAATATATTTTTACATTATTATTTCACTTTCTTGTTCAAGCTGTGAATTGATATAAATACTTCCTTGCTATGTCAATATTTTACATGTCTCCTGATCTTTATTTCCTCTTTTGTCCCACTTTTTGGATAAATGGTTCATGATTCATACTAGGCATGTGGAGCTTAGGTTAGTTGGCCAAATTTCTATTTTTGTGTTCTGGCACCGGTCCAAAGTAGTGCTAGCACCGCAGATAGAATAACTCCACATCTCCAACTGATACTTTTGGTGAGGCTCCAATCTTAGTATCGTGGAGTAACATTTATTTTATACTTTTGAGTCATTAGGGCCTATCACGATTGACTATTTTCGTTCTGTGTCATCAAGATCCCACAGACAATAGTAGTTTATTCTTTTGGTTGTAAAGCTATGGTTACTCACATGGCATGCATGAATGAATAATTACCTTTATGTCTTTTGTTTAATGAAAAAAATATTCTAAAGGTTAAGTTTCATGCATGGGTTTTATTGTTTAAAATATTTATGTTTCGAAAGGCTTATGCATGCATATAAGAGAGGGTTTATATATGGAATTTTTACCTCCTATAGCAAAGGTTAACACCTTATTTATTTTAAATAAATATCATTTAAAAAATTATATTCTATAGATACCTTTTAAGGTTTATAGCAAAATATTTAATTTTGGTTACCTCCTAGCCCTAAGCCGCTAAATATGCTAATCAGTTACACTATTTTATTTCTCTCTCTACTTTGATACATCTCATTCTCTTCCCTCATCCCATTAAAATTTCCGATCTCCTCCTCCTTCCACCGATTTTCTTTGTATCCCTTCCCACTTTCCCCTCCCTTTACACCGGCGTGATGATCCTTCCGCCGCCGTTTTTGGTTGGTTTTTCGGTCGCCGAAAAACCTCTTTTAAGACCCTCTTTAAAGGATACTGCTTCGTCCGCGTTGATGCTTTTACAAAGCTCCTTCCCATTGAAGAAATCTTGAAGTAATTGCTGAACTTTGGGAATCCTAGTTGATCCACCTACGAGAACCACATCATGAATACTGTTCTTATCCATCTTAGCATCCCTCAAACACTTCTCCACTGGCTCCATACACTTCCTGAACAAATCCATGTTCAGCTCCTCAAATCTCGCTCTAGTAATAGTCGAGTAAAAATCAATACCTTCATACAAAGAATCAATCTCAATTGTGGTCTGTGCAGTCGATGACAGAGTCCTTCTCACCCTCTCACAAGCAGTCCTTAAACTCCTCAATGATCCTTCCGCTGCCTTTTTTTTAATTGTAATTCAATGTATCTCGCTGTATTCCATGTATTTTATTGTATTCTCTGTCTTTTTTTCATTGTATTTCAATGTATCCCATTGTATTCTATGTATTTCATCTTATTCACTGTCTCGCTATATGCCATGAATGTATTCATAAGTTTATTTTAATTAATATAATTTATGTATTCAGATGTATTATATAATTTCTCTGAAGATTGCTATATTTTTGGGGTATATTTTGGTTGAGAATCTTTTTTGTAACTGAAAATACAAATTTTGTGTTATAATTGAGTTTGTTGAGTTATATTAGGAGTCTATTAT